TTGTCCCTTCTCCAAAAAGATTTTACCTCTGTGATAGAGAACTATTTTCCTCCCAAATAATGTTTTTCTCCTGGAAAGTCAGATAAATTGTTGCTTTTTAGCATCTGAGTTTCTGGACATCATGTCAACCAGCCTTCAAAATAACTGATTTACTCAAAGCGTTTCCAGTTATGTTCTAGGCTTGAGACACAGTGAAGGTGACACAATATTCAATGTGGGGCACCTCTGCAGAGAAGACTGCTCTGCTTTAGAAGGACTCTCCTTGTTCCCTAATTCTGGCCTCTCCTCCTGACAGTAACCCTGAGGGGTAGGACAGAAGATCAAGATGTCAGCATCCATCCCATGGGCTCATCTGAGGCTGAGCTCCCGTGAACTTGGAGTCCTGAGAAGCGTGGGGCTTATCGGGAAGGAGGGAACTCATGGGTCACGGGACAACCTTGGCCCACTGACAATTTTGCTTCTTGCTGAGCTGGAATGTTCTCCTGCTTTGTGTTGACATTTGGTGTGTGAGAAAATCTCAGCATAAACTTTGTTACCAACCACTCCATTAACCTTGTGACAACCTGTGAGCCACTGTTTTCTGGGCTTTGTTTTTTCATCTGTGGAGAAGTAGAAGGTTGAAGGAAATGAGCTTCATGGTCTCATCCAGCCCTAACAAAAATAATGTTGAATCATTTAATATATTTAATATGATAAATACAACTTAATTAACCACATTTATATTTATATCCTGCTTTTTTCCCTCTCTTGCTCTTTTTTTTTTTTTTTCTTCTTTATAGAGATATTTACTTTTTTCTTTTTGGTGGCTGAGGCTTGAACTCAGGGCCTCATGTTTGCTAGGCAGGCACTCTTACCACTTAAGCCACTCTGCCAGCCCTGAACCCTGCTTTAAAACACAGTATTCCATGGAATCACCATAATTCTACATTTACATATGAGGAAATTGAGTCTTATAGAAAATAAATAACTTGTCCTTAATTAAAATATCCATCTAGCAAATGTTCAAACTAGTCTCAAACACAGATAAGATTCCTCATTTTCTTTTTTTAATTGTCATATTATTGTTGTACTGGAGGTACAATGTGACATTTGCAGAAGTTCCTATAATATATCATAGTTGAATTCACCCCCTCCATCATTCTCCTTTATCCCTCTCCCTCCAATCCTGGAATAGTTTCAACATATCTCATGTTTCCATTTTCATACATGAGTACAGCTCACTGATAAAGCCCCCACCCCCAGGCCTGGATCAGGAGAACATTTTCCTTAGCCCTCACCCTTGAAAGGGTAAATACAGTTCCTGGCTCCTTCTGCTTCCCCTTCATTGCTCCTCCCTTCTCAGGGTCTAGGCCACTTATACCCTTTTTGTGTCATTCTGAATTCTCCATATTCTCTCAACCTTCTCCCTCTCTCTTTCTCCCCATTTTCTATGGGTTCCCCTCTAAGTCTCCTTTCTCCTCCTGAGTGTCAACCTCTCTTGGCAAACATTGCTGGGTTCTGTTTTTGTGAAGATGTTACCCACACTCCTTAGGTGAATCTGCGGGTTGATGGAGACAGGACGATGGTGCTCAGGTGTGGCCATGTGACCAGGATGGTGGTTTCTAGTCTCATACAGTGTTTTCTAAGCATCAAGTGAAGGACAACCTATACTGGAATCAAATCACCAGTGATGGGAGAAGGGTATGATTTAAAATGCAGATGCCTGAAATTTTATTTACTAGAGTAGGGTAAGATTGGTAATCTAGTTTTTTTTAAATGTCACCATTTTTAAAAATGCTACCATGTTGTATAGCATTATTCAAACCTTATTGTCAGAGCCTGTGCGCACCAGGGTCTTTCCATGGCCGTTGAGCCAGAGAGTGGTCAAGAGTCCATAGGAGTACAAGAGAGCTGCCTCAGTTAGAGGCATATGTATAGATCACAGAATGTCACTTAGTGAATTTGGTACTTGCTTCTTCTTAGGTGTCAGTAGTACATTTGGCTCAATAAATAGGACTTTGTTCCTGATACATTAATGTAAAAAGAGTGATACAGGGAGAAGGTGATAAAGAAAGATACATTGAAAACAACTTAGGGGTGACAAAAATGGAAACCTATTGAGAAACACTAGTTTTGCAAGGATGCCTGTGTCTCTGGCTCAGAAGGCATAATTATTCCAGGTCATCCATACCCTTCCATTCCACACTTCTGTGCTCAATGACTGAGACGTCAAAGACAAGGCTTGAACTCACATGTCATAGTTTCTCCAGCTATAACTGAGAATGAACACATTTCCCTGACTTCTACAGTTAGGTAAGTTCCCTCTTTTCATTGTGTAGTTCTTGCCTACTAGTTTAGCACTTATCACTTAGCATTAGTAACCTGGTTTAATTTGTATGTATCATCTTGTCTTTATAACTAGATCATAATGCATTTTATGGTGGAGACTATGTGTTTACCTGATAGTGCATTAACTTATCACCCATCAAACACATTGAGCACCTTCAGGCATGGAGTTAGATTCTAAAAAGACAAAGATGAGAAGACATGGTCTTTAACTTTAAAGACTTCCCAGTGAACAAACAGTTATGAAATGGTGTCATGTGGGTAATGACAGAGACATGTATAATTTTCCCACAGGAAGCATCCTGTCCAACCGGAAGGGGGAAGAACGTAAGCTGAGCCTTGAAGGCAAAACAAGGAAGAGGAATTTTCCAGATAGAGAATGGGTGGTAGACAGGACAGCTTCTGGCAAATGTGGAAATGACTGGAAATGAGACCAGGCTAACATATGAGGGGCCTTGAAGCTCACAGGTAAGGTAACTTTGAGGCACTGATATGCCACTGGAGAATTTGAATTAGCCGGTGGCATGATTGGCTCTCTTTCCCAAAGCTCACCTGACTGCAATGTGGACAGGAGTACAGGAGGATCGGAACCTAGTTGAGAGATGTTTCAGTAATATAGTTCATGATTCCTGAACAATAGAAGTGGGTGGGGGTAGCGTGGAAGGAACTGTCCAGAAGTTTATGTGGAAAAGAAAATTGAGATTAAGAGGCTTGTGAAGGTAAGTGAAAATTAGTACCACCACTGTGAAGGGAGATTTGTCACTATCTACTAAAACAAAAAAGGGAATAATTTATGCAATAGTTTGGGCTTTCGCCAAAGGCCCACATATTAAAGGCTTGGTTCCCAGCTTGGTGCTTGGGGAGAAGCTTTAAGAGGTGGAGCTTAGTGGGAGGTTTTAGGTTATTGTGGACTTAACACCCCAGGGTATTTGTACCTAGTGTTTTTAAGAGTTTGTTTTTATTTTATTTTATTTTTTATTATTATTCATATGTGCATACAAGGCTTGGGTCATTTCTCCCCCCTGCCCCCACCCCCTCCCTTACCACCCACTCCGCCCCCTCCCTCTCCCCCCTACCCCCTCAATACCCAGAAGAAACTATTTTGCCCTTATTTCTAATTTTGTTGTAGAGAGAGAATAAGCCATAATAGGAAGGAACAAGGGTTTTTGCTGGTTGAGATAAGGATAGCTATACAGGGAGTTGACTCACATTCATTTCCTGTGCGTGTGTGTTACCTTCTAGGTTAAAGTTCCTGGTCCCCTTTTCCTATTGGCCTCAGTTGCTTTTAAGGTATCTGCTTTAGTTTCTCTGCGTTAAGGGCAACAAATGCTAACCAATTTTTTAGGTGTCTTACCTATCCTCACCCCTCCCTTGTGTGCTCTCGCTTTTATCATGTGCTCAAAGTCCAATCCCATTGTGTTTGCCCTTGATCTAATGTCCACATATGAGGGAGAACATACAATTTTTGGTCTTTTGGGCCAGGCTAACCTCACTCAGAATGATGTTCTCCAATTCCATCCATTTACCAGCGAATGCTAACATTTCGTTCTTCTTCATGGCTGCATAAAATTCCATTGTGTATAGATACCACATTTTCTTAATCCATTCGTCAGTGGTGGGGCATCTTGGCTGTTTCCATAACTTGGCTATTGTGAAAAGTGCCGCAATAAACATGGGTGTGCAGGTGCCTCTGGAGTAACCTGTGTCACAGTCTTTTGGGTATATCCCCAAGAGTGGTATTGCTGGATCAAATGGTAGATCAATGTCTAGCTTTTTAAGTAGCCTCCAAATTTTTTTCCAGAGTGGTTGTACTAGTTTACATTTCCACCAACAGTGTAAGAGGGCTCCTTTTTCCCCGCATCCTCGCCAACACCTGTTGTTGGTGGTGTTGCTAATGATGGCTATTCTAACAAGGGTGAGGTGGAATCTTAAGGGATATACAGAACTTTGTGTCCTCTCCCTGATGCTTCTTTCTGTTCTATGAATTTGGAGGTGCCATGATCAAGAAGTTGGTGCTCCCCAAAATTCATTTATTGAAATCCTCACCAAGGGGATAGTGAGGTGATAGCAAAGGAAGTTAAGCCTTTGGCGAGGTGATCAGGTCATAAGGGCAGAGCAATGTGAGGACACAGCCAGAAAGTGCTGTCTATAGGAAAGCAGGCCCTCACCAGATACCAAGCCTGCTGGCATCTTAATCTTGGACTGCCAGCCTCCAGAAATGTGAGAAATAAATAAGCCATACAGTTGATGGTGCTTTGGTATTATTTATGGTATTTTTTCAGCCTGCATAAATTAAACCAGGAAGGAAGGAAGGAAGGAAGGAAGGAAGCAACAAAGTCAAGGACAAGTGGGAAGAGAGGATCCTGCAATATAGAATCTGAGAATGGCGGATGCCTGGGCATCGTGCTGGAGAACATGCTTACTTTATTGTTTGTCAACGGTTAGTTGGTTATCAATGAACCAGAGCAGAAGACCAGAACGGAAACCATGACACCCACCTTACCATAAGCTTGGGCTTCCTCCAAAACCATTTCCCTTCTGTATGTGGATGCAGTGGGCTGGGTAGAGGATATAAGCAAGCAGCAGCAAGCTCCCTCCACACTCCAGAGCCCTGAGCGACTAGCCAATCCCTCAACCTTTGGCTTCTGCCTTTGGTCACATCTTCCTTCAGTTCCATGGGAGGCTTTGAGGGTCATCTGTATCCAGGGCTGTCTTTATTCCTATATGGACTTTATCATGCACGACTTGTCTCCAGGGCCTTGATATGCAACTCTTCTGTGCAATATCCACCACACCGTCCTTGGAGCAAAGGAAGATGGGCAAAGCTACGGCAAATACACTATGTTGGCTTGCTGAAGATATTGAGTGCCTGCATTTTAGTAGCCCAAGAGCTGCATAGCATTCCAGGACAGTTTGTACTTATCACCAAGATATTTCATCAGAGAAACTTTATGTTCCACAAACAGTGGCAGCATCTCACTCTCTATATGACCTTCTTCTTAAGTGGGTGTGTAGACACAGTGAGCCAGAACCTGCTACCCCAGAGGTGTGCAGCTCTGGAGCAAGGTGCTCAAACTCTGGCCACATTTATATTTCTGCCCTTGATGGTGTCTCACATGCAGGATACAGAAGGAGTGGAGCTGCAGACTCACATGCTGCTTACCCAGACCATGTTCCTGCTGACACTGGTGGTGACCGCAGAGCTGTGGGCTCCCAACATGGTGCTCCTCTGGATGATGAAGGCCTTTTTGTACCTCATCACGGGCTCCTGGCTCATGCAGATGGGCTTCATGCTGTACAAACCAGTCTCTGGCTATAAATGGATGGACGATGACAAGCATGACATCATGTTTGCCACCACTTTCTTCTGCTGGCATGTGGCCTTTGGGGCCATTTTGATGATCTGGATCTATGGCCTCTCCTTTTTGTGGTATTGTTACCTTTTTGTGAGTTTCTGAACCTGGATGTGCCCAAGTGGTTCCCTATAGCTTGCATACTTTGGGACATCTGGCTGAGAAGTTGTAGGACGTGAGCTGTCAGAGGAGGATCAGATGCCTACCTTTCAAGGTATCCCATCCAGAGGCAGCAGACTATACTGGGGGGCATAGCCCCTCTGCCCTCTGGCTTCTCTTCATCTCATTTGCTGGAGAGTGTGCAGAAGAAAGGTTGATGAAACAAGAAAGTCATGCAACTACAATCTTCACCCTCAGCTCCCCAAGTGTCATCTTCTCCCCTCCCCCCCACTCCACACCTTCCTTTCCCCTCCCTAACTCCAACCAAGGAATCTGTTTGCTTTGCACCTTTCTGCATCCCTCCCTCACCTCTCATGAGAACATTACAATAAACTTACTACATCCTACCTTTGGGCCTTTTTATAAATCCCTCACCCCATCACATAGAATTCTTACCACTAATCACATTTAATACATCATCGTAAGTTAGCTATCGTAATAACTACCTCTCATCTTTTCTTGTTCTGGATCTCTACAATATTCACACTAAATACAGACTGTTTTTTGTTTGTTTTTGTTGGTACTGGGTTATTGAACTCAGGGCCTCATGCTTGCTGGCAGGTGCTCTACCACTTGAGACACAACTCAAGCCCTTTTTGTTTTAGCTATATTTCAAATAGAGTCTTGCATTTTTGCCAGAGATGACCTGAACCATGATCCTTCCTTTGTCTTCTTCCCAAGTAGCTAGGAATACAGGTGTGAGCTACTGCACTCAGCATGTCAGACTGCTGTTTTGACTATATAGAACTCAAATAACTGTTCTCAAGTTATTTTCTTTGATTACTACGTGATTCGTCACAAAGAAACAGCCTTGAAAACAGCTTCTTCCTCTGTAGTGTCTCATAAAGCAGAACAACACCAGCACATACAGAGGGCTCCAAGGGCTCATCTGCTTCTAAGGGTTCTTCTTCTCCCCACCCCCCAGCCCCCACCCACACACCTCCCCAAGTACAGTCTTGTTCTTCCTTGGGCACTTCATCTCATTGTTCTGCACACAAGTAGTGGACTCACCTGGACCCAGCTTCTTTCAGGTTTAATAGAGTCTAATGGCTTGTTTATTCCACATACTTTTTAACCTGCATCACAACTGTCAGTGAGCTTTATAGGTGAGTAATATAAAATTCAAAAGGGTTAAGAAAGTGACTTAAGGTAACTATAAGGTTTTACTATATCACGTAACGCTATAACTAGGTGTCAATGGGGTGGAATTCTGGTGAGTAGAGTTAAATTATCGAGGGCCCTGGGATATGAGGATTCTGTCAAGTTTTTCTCACTCCTCGTGGAGACTAAACATCTAGTTAGGACAAAGTAGGGCTGGGGCAGGGATTCCAGATGGTAATTATCCTTCTCCATTTCTTTTTGTTTCCAGTTCCTAGAGAATTAGATGCATCCTTTGGTGCTGGCTGTACTCTTCCTTCTTAATTTTCTTGTTCAAAAGTTCAAATGTGACAGGGGTGAGCTGTTATCTGTTGTCAAGGATCTTCACCCTCTGGCTTGGGGCGTTTGTGAGCCATCTGAGTCATTCTAGAGTGGGAAGGTGATTCCCAGGATCATTTACACGGGGCTCAACCAAGTCCTCACATGTGCTAGACATTCAGTATGTGACCAACTGCCATGATGGTTTACACCTGCATCAGGCGACAACAGTGGAGATGACCAGAGTCCCTCACGCAGATGTAAAATATACCTCAAGCCTAGTTCAGCTTCCATGCTTCCCCTTGGCCTGGGGACCAATGGATCTCTGTGTCCCCATTGGGTTCTGCTCTTTCCCTTGTTGTCATGTCTAAGTCCCATCCTCTTCTCCCCTGCACCTTGGACATCTTTTTGGATCATAGTCCAGTCTTGCAGGTCCTCCCTCCTCTAGTCTTATTTAATGTCCTCTACTTCCTTAAGGTTTGGGTGGTACAGAATCTGTTTTCCTCTACATTCTTTCCTATTGATATGACAACACTCTGTTTTCTACTTCATCCATACCTCCCTTTTTTGATATTAAGAGCATATTTTGGATTGTTTAAACTTGAAAATTGACTTTTTCATTGCTATTGCAATTTGGCCTCATTGTGAGACAATATCTTTGACTAAATAAGAGAAAATCCATATTTAAAAGCAAGGTCCAAATATTAGAATTTCATGATACTATCTCTCTATAACTTGAAAGTGGAAGAAAGCCACTTGTTAACTCTTAGACTTGTCCCATTTTGAGTACTATTGAAGTTCCGTTAAGTACTGTTGAACTCATCTCTTGTAGCAAATTAATGCCTCCAAATATTATTATGACTCACAATGCATATATTCTAGGTAAGATAATAAGTATTAGTAGCAAAGCCACAAAGACTTATAGCTAAGGCCTGATAAAATAGTGAAATAGGTAGACCTGCTGTTTGGATAGGGTCTTTCTGTTTTCCTTACATCACAGTAGATATTATTACTGTGACAGTAATCCTAATTGCTTTGAATAGTAAAACCAATTGAAGATAAGTTAGAGGAAAGACAAGAACAAAAACACCAAATTACAGAGATTTGGAGAGAAAAATGTAATCTCTACCACTATCCACCAGAGGGCGCGATGTTCACGTGAACTGGAAAGGACACTTCCTCTCGTTTTGGTACTGAACTACCAATTTAAAACAAGTGAAGGAGGTATGGGGAAGAAAGCAATAGAATATAGCAAATGTTGTCCAAGCATGCAGTAAACATCACATAGACCTATTTCCTATTAGATGTGTGGAGTTGTATAAGCACAGAGTCTTACACACAGAGCTGTGTGTGAAAAGACTCTTGGTTTCTCAGTCTCTGACCCCCCTTCCTACTTGGGGTGAAAAATAATCGTGTGTGAGTCTTGGAGGGACTGTCTTCTGTAGATTCCAGGGAGAGTCAGTCTTTCTCCCAGCCCTGGGAGTGAGGATGTGGACAAGGACACCTTGAACTCTTCACCCAGAGCTTGTCATCTTAGAGCGGTGACTCCTGGGCTCAAGGAAATGAGATTATGCATGCTGGGTCCTTGGACAATGGATACTCAGTAGTGAGCTGGCAGTAGTGGCCTACTAGGGACAGCCACAAATGCTGGAAGAAAATGCTGTAGTTGAAAATGGCTTTGATTTCTATGTGAGGTGGTGTATACCACCAAATAAAAAGTGCGTTTACCATAATAGATAGCTGTGAAGTGCAGATAGCAAAATAATCCCACACAGAGATGATCGTAGTGGCTACTGATCATGGAGTCTCTTAGAAAAAATGTGTGGACGGGCCAATAAAATTCTACTGAAACAGATAAGTTCTGTGATGATAGATGTTTTCTTTCCTTTCCTTTTCTTTTTCTTTCTTTCTTTCTTTCTTTTTTTTTTTTTTTTTTGATAGTACTAGTGTTTAAACTCTGGGCCTTGTCTTTGAGCCATACCCCCAGCCCTTTTTGCTTTAGTTATTTTTGGGGGTTATTTTTTATGCTCAGGCCAATCTAGACCATGATCTTCCTATTAGATTCTTCTCCTCCTATGTATGTGATTCTCTTACATACATTTCCCGTGAAGCTGGAATGATAGGCATGAACCACCACACCAGGCTATTGGTTGAGATGGGGGTCTCACAAATTTTTTGCCTAGACTGGGCTCAAACCCTGATCTTGGCCTCCCAAGTAACTGGGGTTACAGGCACAAGCCATGCTTGGCTGATCAGCATTTTTGACTACTTTATTTGTTGTTGTATCCAAAACATCTAGGAAAGTTTATGTCACATGGAAGTGCTCAATAAATATTTCCTGAGGAAGTTAGTTAACAAACAGAAAGCTGAAATGAGCTATGCTGGCAGAAAATCAGGTCCCTCGTTCATTTTGCAGCCCTAAGTCAGACTAAGAGTTTTTAAATTAAAAAGAAATCCTTTTCCCCTTTTGAACAAAGCTTGTGATATTTTTGCAAGTGTTTCCTAGTGTATGCCAGAGATCTGCTGTGATTTCTAGGGTGTCTGTGCACTGAGGTAATGGAAATACCCAGAACTTCAAGAAACCACTCCCTGTAGGGACTGACCCAAGCACACCTAGCAAATATCCTAAAAGCGATGTGAACTCAGGTCTTTCTATTTCATAAATCAATTATTTCTTATGTTATCCTTTTTTTTTTTTTTGGTGGCACTGGGGTTTGAACTCAGGGCCTCACGCTTGCCAAGCAGGTGCTCTATCACTCAACTCATGCCCCCAGCACTCCTGTTTTCCTGATGACAACAATTATCTGCAGTATTTATAAATAATGCAAGTTCCCGAGTCCCACTCCAGTCCTTACAATCAGAATTCCCAGGGGAAGGTCCTGGTAATTTATGTTTGTTTTCTTGTTTGTTTATGGCAGTACTGCGGTTTGAACTCAGGGTATTGCACTTGCTAGGCAAGCTCTCCTTGACTTGAGCCCCTCCTCCAGCCTTTTTTGCTTTACCTTATTTTTCAGATAGGGTCTTGATTTTTTCCCAGAGCTGGCCTCAGACTGTGATCCTCCTATGCCTCCCAAGTAGCTGGGATAACAGGTGTGCACCACCATGCTCAGCCTGTTTTGTTGAGACAGAATCTTGCTAACTTTTTGCCCAGATGGGCTCAAATTACCATCTTCACAATCTCCACCTCCTGAGTAGCTGGGATTACAGGTGTGAGCCACTGTACTTGGCCTAATTTATGTTTTTTACCAAGAGCTCTAGTGATTTTTATCATTATACAAGTTTGGAAGACAACTGATACCCTTCCTTTGGAGAACTAGAACATCTTGAAAAGGTCAGAAATGCAACCAGTACGTCAAGTCTCTAGCTAGTGATCTGGCTTCTCTTCTTTCCTGTTAGTGTCATAACCCCTCTTTGGTTGTTAATAGCTCCAATACTCAGCCTCTCAGAGCGTGGGGAAAATGGTGGAGCAGTAGTTAAGACTACAAAGTAGCTTCACATAACTTGATTAAAAACCAGTCTGAAAGCATTCTTGTCTTAAGGAATGTGGCATGCGCTGGAGTGAGCTTTTTCTTTCTCCTGGTTATTACTGAAACTAACTGGGGGTGATGAGAGATACAGAAAAGACACAGGATAGAAAGACAGGCAGAAAGTTGGGGCCAGGTGTGCTGGGCGCTCAGGTAGAGATGCACAACAGCCTCATTGCTTCTTATCTCTATTAATCTCTTCTTACTCAGCTTCTTTTCTCTATCTTTATTCTTTAAGGCCTTACTCCTTTACAACTCCTTAAAACCTTGCTTCTAAAAGTCTTCTTTTCTATTCCTTAAAGTCTCTTTTCTTAGACTTGCTCTGTCCCATATTTTCTCTTAGCTTTTCTTTAGCATAATCTCTGTTAAAGTCTTTGCCCTCAGACTCGCACTGTCCCACATTCTCTAACTTTCTTAAAGTTTTGTCCCTCAGACTTGCAGACAATCAACAGAGGCAGTGCACTTGCAAGCTGCCAACCAATTCTGTCAACTCCTCTTTAACAATTCTCCTTCAGCCATTCTTTTCCCTTCAGCAATCCTCCCTTCAGCAATTTATTTTCCCTCTTCAGCAATTCTCCCTTCAGCAATCTCCCTCCAGCAATTTCCCTTCAACCAAAAGACTTCCTTTCACCCCAAAGCCCCCCTTCATCCAAAAAGCCAAAAGCCTCACGTCCTCCTTCAGTGAGTCTTTTATATCCAGTGGTAAACAAGGAAGTGGAGCAGCACTTTTCAGGGAGGGGCATGACATTGTAACAGGAGAAACCTGCGTTAAACAACTTAGGAAAAGCAGCTGAACTGCATCTCTCCTTCTTGCTCTCTTCTGTGGCTGGGGTTGTGCCAAATCTCAGCCTACAGATAAACATCTTAGGAAAAGCAGCTGTTCTTCATCTTACTCTAGCCTTATTCTGTGGCTGGGGCTGTGCCAAACTCAGCCCACAAACATTGAGTACAACTGTGCTAATGTCCGAGTAAACTTCTCCTACTCCACTCCTCACAATGTACCACTATTATATATGCCATTATTTTTGGAAGAGACTATAGCTTTTTCTTTTGGTCAGATTGTGATAGCACTTAACCAAAGGAGGGGATAATCCAAGTAACAAAACAATAACATAGACATCTAGAGCTTTACCCTGAGCTCTCTTTCCCTTTTTTGTTCTTTCCTTTTCTGTTTTAACTGTACTAAGGTTTGAACTCAGGGCTCTACTGCTTGAGCCATACCTCCAATCCTATTTTCTCTGGTTATTTTGGAGTAGGATATTTTTTACCCAGGCCAGCCTGGTTTCCTACCATCACTGGGATGACAGTCATGTACCACCATATCCACCTATTGGTTGCAATAAGGTCTCTCTAACTTTCTGCTTGGGTTGGTCTTGGACCACAATCCTCCTGATCTTAGCCTCCTAAATAGCTAAGGTCACAGGTGTGAGCCATCAGTGTCCAACTCTGAACTCTCTTAAAATGTATGCACCACTTTGAATGATGCATGAGGTAATATACTGAAGAATATGGCAGACCCATATTGGGACACATTAAAATATCAAGAAGTAATGAAAGAATCTCTTCTTACTATAAGAACTTTAGTTAGCAGTATCTGGTCTTTACCATAAAGATCATAACACTTTTTCAAACATGACTTTTTTTGTGGGTCTGAAATCAAACTCAGGTCCTTGCGTATGCTAGGCAAGTGCTCTACCACTGAGTTACATCCCTAACTCATTCAAATGTAATTTTTTTTGGTAGCACTGGAGTTTTGAACTCAGGTCCTCACACTTTTTAGGCAGCCACTCTACCACTTGAGTTATTCCATCAGCCCATTTTTGTGATGGGTTTTTTCCAAGATAGGGTCTCTCGAATTATTTTTCTGGGGCTGGCTTCAAACCACAATCCTCCAGACCTCTGCCTCTTGAGTAGCTAGGATTACAGGCGTGAGCCACCAACACCTGACCCAAATGTGACTTTTTATTGGTAATTCATTATTAATAACATTACTTCTAACTTCCCAGGTTTTCTAGACATGATATATGTTTCCCAACAATCTCTTTTAAATGTCTTCTCATGACATGGAAAAACTTTCTTCTCACAAGTTTAAGAGACATTCTTCACTAAATTATTAAGATTTATAGGCTTGGTAGCTTTTAATCTTAATATCCACTTTCTATCAGGAAAGAAAAAAGAAAAAAAGAGTTAGTGGAAAAAAATTGCTTGACAACTTCAAAGAAAGGGAATTCAAGCTATTTGGAGGTTGATTTTTCTCCCTCTACTCCAGCCATATTGGGATTTAAACTCAGGACCTCCTGCTTGCTTGGCAGGTGCTCTACCACCCTAGTCATGCCCCCCAGTCCTGAGATTGATGATTCAAGTGGACAGAAAAGCCTGGAGATACTGCTTATTAGTCCCAGGAGCTGAATTTAGCCATAGAAAATGTCAGCCTGTGGTAGAAGAGGATGGAGTGGTGAAGAGATCTTGGACACACATAGAAAGGAACTGTTACTGCACACAAAATATAGACTAAGTACAGCTGAGTCTCCTGTATTCAAGTGATACAGGAGATCAGGTAACATAAAGACTTCTCTCCAGACTGAGGACTACACAACAATAAGCAGGCCACTGCCTACGGAATCTGGAACTCCTCAGAGGTGTCACTGTGTGTTCACAAAGACTGGGTTCCTGTTGACTACAGTCTAATTTCTGCTGGTAACCAATCAGAGTGGCAGCAAAAGCACGACAACATGAGCAGTGTTGGTGAGTCTCTGAAAGGGAGGTTTCCAAGGCATTGAGCCCTCAAATAGGGCAAGCCACTCATTCTCCCAGTCATCAATAGGAGTACCACATGTGACTTTTGTGTCATTTATGTCTGTTGCCTTCTTTCTCCTTCTTACCTTCTACTACCACATCTTTAAGAATAGAACAAGGCCCCATTCATAAGAAACTTAGTCAAGAGGGAGGAAGTCAAATGTACATCAGGCCATTATGTGTCTTACCTTCTCTAGGGAAAAGGCCTGCATGGGTTTTGGGATCATCTGATGATTATTGTTTATTTGTTTCTAAGTTAACCCTATTGTGGTGTGGAATGAGTACTATCAGCCTTTTAAATAATTAAGAAGTCTGAGGGCAGAACAGGAGAGAATGGTAACACAGGAATGAAGAAACTATAGGATTGGGAAGAGGCGGGTGTGGTGAGCCTTGTTCCCGTACCTTATTATGACTGTTTTGCCAATGGCAATTTTATCATAGGCAAGCCCCTTGTCACCAGTACTGTGTGTCCGTATGGAAAATAATCAATCAGGAAATTTCTGCCAAGCCCCATTTCCTGCAATCAGATGGTCTCTCAATAACATAATCCATCAAGAAATTCATGTCATGATTGTGAAAGGGGGACTATTTGGTGGGGTGAACCAGTGGGAAAGGGGAAGGGAAAGATAAGGGTGATGGGGGGGCAAATGTGATCAAAGTACTTTATATGAAAATAGCATAATGAAATCCACTAAGAACTGTTAAAAGTGATGGGAATTAAGAAAAAATAATATGCACAGGGTGAGTTTGATCCCAGTACATTAGATGCATATATGTAAATTTCATAATGAAACTCCTTTGTACAATTTATTTATGCTAATAAGTATAAAATAATGTAAAAGATCTAGGTGATAAGTGTTCTCACTACTAATGTACATACACATGCATATAAATGTGCATATATATATACATACATACATATTCATGTGTACATAAATAGCTAAAAATTAAAAATACATAGGCCCATAAAGATACACACACACACACTTTTTTCTTCTTAGAAATTGTGTCTTCACTGATTCTTCCAATTCCAGTTCAAACCTCTAGAATTATTCTTGTTCCAATCTCATATTTGTGTCTCTGTTCTTCTACCAACAGAATCCTGGCTCCCAACAACATATTTATCCATTTGCTTAGACCTATAACACACTGGAAGTAGTTGCAGAATTGTCTCACCAACACTGCTACAATAAACCTACTAAAAAGAGTTCAGGATCTATTTCTAATTTTCATCACCACTACTTCAATCTCACTACCCACACACACACCATCTGCCCAAGACAAAGTTTACATAGTCAAATACTGAGTTAATAAACTAACTTGAATTTCTTCTTTCTTTTTTTAACTTTTCTCTCATTTCCCTTGTATAAAGTTGTAGAATTTATTCATTGTTTCCATTTGATTTCAGGTTTGCCTTTTTTTCAATGATTTTTTTTTAATATTAAATTTTTACAGTATTAAAAAAATAAAAAGAAATCCATGTCAGAGTGTATGAATGACTGACAACCAACCAATCCAAAAGGTTATAAACATCATCTCTTGAACAATTCATTCAGCATTGACAGATCTTGACAAAGTACAAACCCTTTTGTGCCTAGGGGAGGAAGGATGAAAACCCTCTTGCCATAGAGCTCAGTCATGGAGGAAGCTGCCTACATCAATGATGAAAGCAGCAAAATATATTAACTATAGTAAAGGAAGACATCTAGGACAGTGTGGAGACAGAATCACTCTACCATTGTGGTAGAGACTCACTGGTGCTCATGTTGCCCTGACTTTCCTGCCACTCTGATTGCTTAGGAGCAGAATTAGCCTAGAGTCAGTGCAACCAATCTACCACTGTGTTAGATTTTACCATTCTTGGTTCACCAATATGATTATGTATAAGCCAGTTCTTGATGGATAATCAGCCATTTATGAAGCCAGCTGGGGTTGAGAGGACATTCCAGACAATGGGAATGTGGGAATAGACATGAGGTTTGAAGTGAAAGCTGACAGCAGGTTCAGGAATCAGAGTGCCTTGGTTTTGGCTTGGAAACAGGAGGCAGCATAGTGTGAAGTAGCAGATGAGACTAGGAGGTAAAAGCAAAAGAAGATGAAGCCTCAGATAGTATACTCAGGGGTTTGGAGTTTACCTTGTAGAACATGGAGGGGTCTTTGAGGTGTGTCAACAATAACATCAACATATTATAGTGGCACTGTGTAAAGGGCATTTGGAAAGGGAAAGGACCAGAACTAGGAAGACCATTAAGAAACTGATGCGGTAGTCTAGGAAGGAGATGATAGGGGCCTGAAAAAAGATAATGACTGTGTATAAATGGAGAGGAGAGAGATTCCAGAAATATGTGAAAGGGAAGAAACCACAGGAATGGCCCAACATTGCATATGGGGGTGGCAAGACAGGAAAATCAGTGATGTAACTGAGACTGGGAATACAGGAAAAGAAGCATGTTGCATGTGTGGAAACCTGGATATGTTGAACCCATGGAGGTGAAAGCACCTGGAGAGATGTTTCATAGCTAATTAGATATTCAGAACTAGAGCCAAAGAGAGAAGTCTGGGCTGAAAACAGAGATTTTAAAATCATCTGTGTGTCATAGATTAAACAAATCAGGGAACATTCATGAAAAGAAGAGCAGAGGGCTGGTGAGGGATCCAAGGGAAACCAACACGAAAATTTACAGTAGATAGGAAGAAAAACGGTATCTCCGGAATGAAGGCAAAAACTGACACCAGCTCTGCTGTTTACAATAGCATTTTATTGTCTGGGTTTCTATGTCTATTTCTGTTATTCAAAGACAATGACCACCTGGTGTCATCAGGAAGTGATGGAGGCCATGGCTTGGTTTTCTTGTGCTATTAAAAATGTACTTCAGGGATTGTACATTTGTACAATCTCACTATCTTCATCAGATGCTGGAGAAGTCTAAGAGACAGGCCTGGTGTTTATTATTTAGCTTGTTCATTTTCAGCCTTTCATTATAACTTTTGGGTATGATGGAGAAATGGTGGGCCATTGATATAATAATTAGCCTACTACTCAATAGTTGAAAACTATGCTCTAAAGAACATAGACAGTGAATTGGAATAAACTTAGAGGAGTTAACTAGTCCACCTGGGGCTTTTATTGTTGGCTTTATGATGATCAACATTTATATTCTCTGAATAATTTGAGCAAAACAACAATAAAACCTGAGAGGCGCAATAAACATTTGCATGACCAAATCAATATTCAAGAAAGTTCTTGCCAGGCTGTAATGCTGGGCCCAAACTAACCAGGCAAAATTTGACAAGAATTCATGTAATTTACTGCCCTTGGTTTCTGAAAGGAGATGGCTAAATAAAGTGTAGTGGATTTAATAGCATAACGTGAAAGCCCCCAAAACAAACTCCACTTCAGGCTGCACTGATGTTACATGCAACATTGGCCAAAGTACTCTTGTACTGTGCCCTGGGAAGCATTTAGGGTGCTTGAGATGGCTCCATCTCATTGGATGTCACTTCTGCTGATGAGAGAGGAGCAGGTAGAAAGGAGTCCATTGAGGAATGGCTGAAGAACTGTCCAGAGAGGTTGAAAGTTAGCAGAAGTCTGGGGTGTCTTTATTAACATTGGGAGTCCCGTCTTCAAAAGGAAGAATTTCCACAAATACAAAGAAGGTAAAGAAAGGCAGTTCACAGTAAGAAAAAAATTTTTCTAACCATTTTATCTCTTAAAATGAGACATGAGACAGTGAACGCCCTATAGTTAAGAGACGTGGAAAAGAAATTGGAGTTAGATGACCATAAAAGCCGTCATTATGCTGAGTTTTGGCTGTGTGAATGATCTATTTAATTGCTTTATTCTTGCAATTGGAACACAATCTTGGTCATGGGTTTTTGTTTTTGCTTTTTTCTCTCCATGTAGAAATCATCGGTTCTACAAATCTTATAATTCTTCTAGAGGATGAAGTCTTTACTGACTTTTTCAACACATTTCTTTCTCTCCCGGTAAGCATTCTCAGACTTAAATCTAATATTTTATTAATAGCTTAATAATGAGTCTTACTGAAAGTGCCTTTTTGTTTTTTTGTTTTTGTTTTACTAAATTCCTTGTGCAATCAAGAACTTTTTAAATTTGAGCAAATAAATGTGAACCAGAACCACCTCTAGAATCTCCAGAACTTCTTACTGTCAGTGTAAACAAATCCAAAATTCCCAGGCTCTTTAACTGCATTTACCTGTTCCCAGCACACCATCTGCTGACACCAGTGCTGTAGTGACCTCACATCCACCCTTACTCAGTACCTCTGCCTTCCCCCACCTGCAAACTCCCTTAAGCTCTTTGCTTTCTACGTGGAATGCCTTCCCCATAGTTCCACTTACCAAAGCCTTCACCATTCTTCAAATTTCCACTTAAATTCTATTCTTAAGGAATGCCAGTCCTCACAATTGCAACCTCCTGATTGGAACTTCTCTTAGTCACTGTTTGCCTTCACTCTTTGCAAGTCTCTTATAGTATGTGTGTGTGCGTGCGTGTGTGCGTGTGCATGTGTGTGCGTGCGTGTGTGTGTGCATGTGTGTGCGTGCGTGCGTGTGTGTGCGTGTGTGTGTGTGCGTGTGTGTGCGTGTGCATGTGTGTGCGTGTGTGTGCGCGTGTGTGCGTGTGCAGGTGTGTGCATGTGTGTGCGTGTGCATGTGTGTGTGCACGTGTGTGCACGTGTGTGCATGTGTGTGCTGTGTGTGTGTGCATGTGTGTGCGTGTGTGCGTGTGTAAGCATATACCCTCCCCAACTCTCCCCACTGGATTGTGAGATTGTGCATTCCTGTAGGATAAGGACTGAGGATTATTCATTCTGCTCTTCTCCCCTTACCAGGTGTACAGCATGTAACAATTGATGAGTTGTTGGCTAGAACCAAACCTGTTTATTTTAATTTATGCAAGTAAAACAATTGTCAAACGTAAAAATATTCTTAAACCTAAAACTAGGCTAATCCCATATATTTTTTGTTGGTTTGTTTGTGACAGGGTCCCACTATGTATCCCAAACTAGTCTCTAACTTCCTATCCTCCTGCCTCAACCTCCTGAGTGCTGGTATTACAGGTGTGAACCACCATGCCTGGCAGGCCATAACTTTTTTCTTTTTGAATTATGCTTTATGAATTGTGGCTCATCTCAGTGTAGCCTTTCCCATAAGATGTGCCTATTAAAATGTGAAAATTCAGGAAGAGGGAAAATATACTATCTCACAAATAGTTATTGGGTGGTTACTTTGTACCAGCCACTGGGCTTAGTTTTGGGGATGCATGTGTTAATGACATAATCTCTGTCCTCAAGGATTTCCCAATCTAATATGAGAGACTGGTATTTAAGGTATGGATGACATGACAGAAATTTCCAGCAGGCAGTTACATAGGAGGGAAAGGCCACTCCTACCTGGAAGAGTCAGAAAAAGCTGATACCAGCGTGGTGTCTTTTTTTTTTTTTTGTAAAGCAAACTTTACTTATTTGGAACTTAGAAATTCCAGGTTGTATCACATCAGTGAGTCAATAAGTGTGAATTCTCCAATTCTTTTCTTCTTTAAATCTCATTTTGGGATTTAGTATAGAGATCTGTATTTCCCAAGGCTGTTTGTGAGAATGAGAGAGCACAGGTTTTGAAGAGCCACCCTAAGCCATAGCTAAAGAGGTTAGAGGAAGCATCAAAACCTTAGCCTAATGCACAGAAGAAAACCTGGGGTTGAGAAAAGTGGAGAACAGAAAGTGACTTTATTTTTACATGTGGTCAAGAAAAGATACTCATGGGAAAAAACTGACAAGATGTGTATTCCTTGGGGAAAAGACATGATTGGGAGTATGAGGAGACAGGTCAAGCCCCAAATACATCCAGCTTCCTGGAGGTGGCTTATTGCGCAGGCCCATTTTCCTGAATCTGTGCTTGGAATTAATGCTTTTAGAACACAAAACAATGCTAAAAGAATACATGCTAAAAACTACTTCCAGCAAAGATTTCACTTGCTCCAACAAGGTTAAGAGGTTCAAAACTCATTCCTAGGTGATACTCTCTTATTGATGACAAAAGAGGATGATAGCCTACAATTACCTGTTAAAGCCTCCACATGTAATTTGCAACCCCAGTTCCCATAGGTTCAGTCATCTCTCTACTTTCTCTAGTTCAAAAGTTTAGGTAAATCTAAAGCTATTTCTCTTAAAAAAAAAAAGGCTTTAGACCTTTCCTTTAATTCTCTAAGTCTATGGCAAAAGTGAATAATGCAACCCACAAAATCAATATGTTCTAATATTAAGGGTCTTTGCCTTTGCACACAAGCAAGATGGCTCCCAGGTCTAGGTAGGGTATAGCCAGAAATGAATGTTGCACCTCAATTCATTCAGAGTATTTTTTTACTTGTGCAGAGCATGTTGATTAGGTGGAATAAATTTAAGAATCAATGCCCCTCAAAACAGGAAAGCAGTAGGGCTTTCTCTGTCTGTGCTGCAGATGATCTGTGCCTTGTGTATGAAGAGATGCTATTCCTCCTTAGTTGTTGCCTTTCTTTTGCAGGTTTTTGGCCAGACACCATTTTATACTGTTGAAAATTCACAATGGACCTTGTGGCCAGAAATACCTTATGACTTGGTGAGAAGATTCTTGATTGGCAAAGGGTCTGGGGGTGGAAGAAGAGGGGATTGTATTTGAAACATGAGTTGGGAAAGGAAGACAAAACAGGATCCCAGAGGGTAATTTTGGAAGAAACCATAAGGCAGGTAAGTAAAACAAACAACATCAAGCCAGGTAGACATTTTACATTTTTACCTCAGGCAAGCAATTGCTGGTGAACCCTTTCCTTATACTCTCATCCATAGTTAGCTAATGGAATTCATCTCTCATGTCTGCCGTGATTGTTGGGTAGTTGGTGCTATGCTAAGACCTTTGAGGTCACATCTGAACAGGGAAGATTCTGAGAATGGATTGATATTGTCTGCCATGGGTGTGGGATAGGGCTACGTAGTTGTAGTCAGGTATAAACTACCCTACATGGAGACCAAGGTTAAGATGCCGCTGTGAAATTCCTGATGACCACTTGACTGTTCTCCTCCAGAGGTATATCTTTAAAATATTTTCTCTTTACACATTTCTTTTCCCTGTATGTGAGGTTGGAAAGATTACTCTATGACCTGCTCATGATATAGTTTTGTTTTTACCTGAGTTCTAGAGAGCTAAGAAGAGATACCTTACTCCACTTATTTTTTTGGGTGGTGGGTGGGAGGGTAGAAGGGTTTACTGGGATTGAACAGAGGGACGTGCACTTGCCAAGCAGGTGCTCTACCACTTCAGCCACACCTCTAGACCCCTGACTCCACTTCTTACATTCGGTTTCCCTAAGATAACTATGAAACTTAATTTTTTAATTTTTTTCCCTCTCTTCTTTGGTGGCTTGGTCCCTCAGGGATCTATCCTGTACTCTAAATGATGGTGTGTGTGTGTGTGTGTGTGTGTGTGTGTGTGTGTGTGTGTGTGTATGCATGCACACACTCATGTTGTGGTTACTGTTGCTGTTTTGAAGATCAAGCCTTTTATTTCCATTAATCCATTCACTTTTTTGGGAACTTCAGCTAAAGTGTCTGCTCCCCTTAGATACTATTTTTTTAATCAACACACATCTCCTTCCAGCCAGATATTGCAAGTGTGAGGTTAAGCTAAGTTTCATTTCTTACCAGTTCAGTACCACTTATTTTTCTTTTGTTATTTGGTTTGAACTCTAGATTGCCAAGTACAAAGGATTATTGACCTGGTTGGAAAAATACCGGTTACCCTTCTTCTGTAAAACAAATTTGTGTTTCCAGTATATTCTCTGTCAGGAACTCATCAGTTTCATTAAGTCGCCAGAAGGAGGTAAGTGTGTGTGTGTGAGTGTGTGTGAGTGTGTGTGTGTGTGGGTGTGTGTGTGTGTGTGTGTGTAGAAATAAACATGTTAATTAATGATTCCATGACTCTCAGTCCTAGGTGAGATACAAATACTAGCTGTGTTTGTTGATATGTGGCTAACTCAGCCCATGTTTCACCCAGCAATACATGAACTCTTAGCATAAAATTTGGTACCTGAAGCAATAAGCAGAAATCAGGCAGACTAGGTACTTTATCTTATACCCAGAAATTATGGGGTTAATGGTGAGTATGAAGTATGGTAGAACTACCTGACATATATCTAGAATCAAACAAATCTCACTACTTTCATTACTTCCATTTGATGTGAACCACCATCATTTCTTACCTGGGTACTGAAGTTATCTCTAATTAGTCTCCTTCTACTCCTGATCTGCTTACAATAGCCAGAGAGAGTCTTTTATAACATAATTTTTGGAAGAAAGCAAGGATTCTAGTAAAACAGAAGAGTAGGAAACACTAAGAATTTGTTTCTATAGCTAGATAACATATGGCATAATCCATGTGATATAACCGTTTGGAGGATCTGGGTCTATTGAAGTTTGCAACCCTTGAGAGAAGGATGAGACAGTAAATTGTAGTTGTTTTCATTCAATTTCAGCTCTTAGCACAGCAGCAGCCACCTATCCTCCAACCCCAGTCCCATGACACAACTCCAGAGCAACTTACATACACCTTGTGCTTGTCAGGGTAATCAAAGAATATCTTGCCTTCCAAACATTGGGAATCTGGACTCTGACCACTGGTTATTGCTTCTGATCACAGAGATTCAGATGAAGAGGTGGGCAGCCATTTTTGTTATACCTCCCCATTGCCATTAAGCCCCTTTTCCTCTGCCTCAAGTGATTTCCTGGGGATTTAAAGGTTTTTCAGCCTTCCCTTCTTTATTTTCCACTTTTTCCCCATTTTCAAAACAGAGATAAAAAGACTAGAACTTCCAAAAGTAATTGCATATATGGAAAATTAGACAGTTGCTGCCCATACCTAAGGAAAACCACAAGCTCAGAAAAGACCTGAGGAGAATCAAGTTTATATTTCAAGTTGATTCTTATAATAGAGATAGCCTACAGAAATTTTTTTAAAAATAAACAAAATGAATAACAAAAACCAAAAAAGAAATTTATATGTAAGTGCAAGAATCTGATTTCCAAAATTGCCACATTATTATATTCAAATGTATAATTTTTAATGGAAGTCATAACACATGCAAAGAAACAGGAAAGGAAAAAATTAAATCCAAAGAAACAGTCCCTGAAAAAGACATCAAGGCAGATCTACTATACAAAGACCTTAAAGCAATTGTCTTCAAGATACTCCAAGAAGTAAAGAACAATGTAGAAAAGTAGAGAAAACATTATTTAAACAAAATGAAAATATCAATGAAAAGATGGGAAACCTAAAAAAGAATCCAAAAGGAAATTCTAGAATTAGAAATTACAAAAGTAGAAATGAAAAAAAATCACTAGGGGAATTCAAAGCAAGCTGAAGAGAGAATCAACAAACCTGAAGGGGAAATTATCAAGTCTGAGGAATAGAAAGAAAAAAGATTTAAAAAAAGTGAACAGAGTCCAAGGGACCTGTGAGACACAATCAAGTAAAATGACACATGTATTGATGGTGCTCAAGGGGAGGAGAGAAAAAAGGGCAGTGAGACATCCCCCAAAGGCGCCTGTGTTGAAGGCGTGGTCCTTAGCTGGTAGTCTACTGAGAGGTGACTGGATCCCAAGGGCTTTGACCTAATCAAATGGATGAATCCTTTGATGGATTCATAATATGATGACATATTGGGAGGTGGTGGAAAGTAGGTGGTGGGATCCAGTTGGAGGAAGAGGAGGTCACTGGGGGCATCCCTGGAAAGATGCACCTTGTCCCCGGCACCCTCTTGCTGTGTTTTATTTCCTGTCCTCCATGAGGTGAGATGATTTCCTCCCTCACATGGCCAGCGTGGTGCTCAGCCCCACTTCACACCCACAACAATGGAGCCAAACAACCATGGGCTGAAACCAGAAGCCAAAGCAAATCTTTCTTCTTAACTGGTTTGTCTCAGAGATTTGTCATAGTGACAAAAAAGCTAACTAACATAGAGATAATAGTTAAAGAAATAATGACTGAAAACTTCCCAAATTTGATGAAAAAACATGAATATAAACATCCAGGAAGAAGAAGCCAGTTAACTGCAAGGAAAATGAACTCAGCTGACTTGCAATAGGATGCATTATAATGAAACTTGTGAAAGACAAAGACAAAGAATCTTGAAAATATAAGAGAGAAGCAACTTGTCACTTAGAAGTGTTCCTCATAAGATTATTAGCAGGTTTATAATCATAAACTTTGGAGTTCAGAAGGCAGTAGGCTTATAAATTTAAATTCCTAAAAGAAAAATACAGTTATCCAGGAATTCTATAGCCAGTAAAACTATCCTTCAAAAGTGAGACATTCCCAGAAAAGTAAAAGCTAAGGGAGATGACTTTTAAGAAATGTTAAAGAAAGTTCTACAGAGTGAAATGAAAGGACACTAGACAATAAACTGAATCCATACAAAAAAGTAAAGATCTCAATAAAGATAAACAAGCAGACAATTATAAAACCTAGTATTATTATAACAATGGCTTATAATTGCACCTTTCTTTTTGAATGATAATACATTTTTAAAAGAACAATTATCTGTCTAGAAGCCAGTATTGTAACTTTGGATTATAACTCCACATTACATTTAGTTTTCTACATAACTTAAGAGACTAACGCATGCCACTAAATTATTAGTTTGTGTTTGGGGGCACACAATGAATAAAGAGGTAATTGTGTGATCTCAACAACCAAAGAGGTAGAGATGGAGTTTTTTTATGTTACTGAAGTTGAGCTTCTATAAATTCAAATTAGAATGCTATGGATTTACAATCTTAAATGTAATTCTCATGCTAACTGCAAAGAAAATAGCTATAGGATACACAGAAAAGGAAATGAGGAAGGAATTTGTTTCATTACAAAAATAAACAGAAAGGAAGATGATAATGCATGAAATTAGAAATAAAAAAGCTGTAAGGCATATGGAAAACAAGTAACAAAATAACAAAATTCCCTCCTTAATAGCAATTAATTTAAAGTAAATTAAATTCTTTAATCTAAGGACAGAGGTTGGTGGAATGGATTTACAAGGAAGACCAAACTATATACTGTCTACAAGAGAATCATTTTATTTGTTTTAAAAAATTTATTTAAAAAATAAATTTATTTATCATAGTTATGTAAGGCTGGGAAGTCCAATACATCCATGCATAAGAGATATTGCAGGTTTGGCTCCATATCATAGCAATAAAGAAAATATTGCAATAAAATGAGTCACATGAAGTCTTTGGTTTCCCATTGCATATTAATTTTGTTTGTCATATGTTGGTAGTCTATTGGGTGTTTAATAGCATTATAGCTTAAAAAAAGTACATAACCTGTTAAAAAATAATGTATTGCTAAAAATTGCTATTATTGAGCTGTTGGAAAAACAACACTGATATACTTGGTCCACACTGGGCTGCCACAAAACTTCAATTTTTAAATAACACACTATCTGAAAAGCACAATAAAGCAAAGTGCATTAAAACAAAGCCTGCCTGCATCAAGTGGCAGCATCTTGCTTTCTTATCTTATGACAGAGGAAAAGAAAACTCAAGAGGGCAAGTGGAGGCTGAACTCACTTTTCATCGGAATGCACCCCACAATTACTAAACACCAGGACCTAAACACCTCCCCTTAGCCCCATCGCCCGGTTCTGTTGTACTGAAGATGAGGTTTATGACACACCAGCATTGGGGGATGCATTCAAACTACAGCACCATTTAACAACAACAATTTAAAAATCAAATTGCTCTAAGAGAAATTTTCCTAAAATAAGATATATTGAAAATAATGAACTCCCAACTCAGAAGGCATTTCCAGAAAAAGTCCCAGATGTGCTGTAACTGAGCAACAGTGACAGAGTGAGCAACAGCCTTAAAAATGACCACTTGCAGAAGACAAGAATGTGTGTTGATAATATCAGTAGATGCAACTACAGTTTATCCTTGCCACTGCTTCAACCCATTGGCAAAGATAACCAACAGTGATCATGGAAGTTAATAAGAAATTGTCTTTAAAAACACTTTTTTAAAGTACAAGGTTTTTAAGCATATGTTTTCCCCTGATTTATGTCTAGTACTACAATTCTTACAAAGACAACTATTGAAATCATTATGGTTTTCTTCTTTTCATTTGCATTAGCATATATTTTAAATTAAAACTCCATTTGAACTGAAAGCATGGCTCAAATGGTAGAGTGAACAAAACCCAACACCAACAACAAGTAACACCCAACACCACCACCAACAAAACCACTCCAGTTACAGGCCTTAAGAGAATTATTTTAAATCCAAAGACACAAATGGATTGAAAGTGAATGAATGGAACAAGATACTTCATGCAAATAGTAGCCAAAAAAGAGCAGGGGTGACTATAATATTATCAGACAAAAAACAGACTTTAAATTAAAAAACAGAGAGACAAAGGAGGAGATGACATATCAATGCAAGGTTCAATACAGCAAGAAGAAATAATAATGATAAATTTCCACATACCTACTGACAGACCATCAAAATATTTGAGGCAAAAGATGGTGGCTAGAGGGAGGAAGCAGAAAGCGTGCCTTCCTAAAGTAAAATCTTGGAGAGATGCTGGATATACATCTTACAGACAAAACCACCAAGAAGAGGCAAAACTGACTCCTCCACACCTCCAGCCTGCGCATAGCATCTCCACTTCACATTAAATAGAGAAACCAGGAGAACCCCCGGGCCACCAGACACCAGTGTCCAGATGGCTTGGGAAGACACAGACCACAAAGTGAGCTAAGCGGTACACGGTACTCCCACAGACATCCCTGGACCAGATCAGCATAGCCCCCTGGACAGACTGACACCCAT